CCATGAATCCTGGTTTCTCTGGCCTTCCTGTTGACTCGGGGGCCAAATCTCCGATCTGAGGCATGATACCCAGATCATGGTCCCCAGGGCTTCTCGACCCCTTCCCCAGGCTCGGTTGTCTATCCCGTGCTATTATTCGATGGCCCTGGGGCCCGAAACTGGTAGGTGTCGAACATGTCGACATCAGTCTCCAGATGTCGGCCCCGGACCCCGACCGAAACTGGAGTTTTGGTTCGAGCCGCCAGATGCCCTGGTCCTCCCTTAGTCACCCCCAGGCTTGTCTAGCGTTAAGTCGCGCATTGCCCTCTACGGGAGGAGTATTCAAGAATTATCAAACATTGGTCGGAGGACGATGCCTCTAGCATTTTTGACAACTTCTGTTGACTTCTAATCATTGCTATTTGCAAACATAGTTCAACAAACAAATCACTTTCACCACTGGGAGGACATGCCCGACCGAAGACCATCTCTGACGGCCCGAAGCCACCCGGACGGGTACTCAGCAACGGGTCCAGGGCGCTTCGGCCACACGCAGGACATGCGGCTGGAAAGCGCCACGCTCGCGCGGGATGGTGCAGGAGAGCAGAACGACAGCGCCACCGCCCTGCATCGGCGAAGGTCCCCGTCTTGGCCAGGGTGGCGCTGGCCTGAAGTCGGGCGTGTCCCTCTGCAGGAAGAATATTCCAAAATAGTTAGAAAATAGTCTGCGGACGATCTCTCGACTATGTTTTACCATTTGGGAGCTCGTTGTGGGTTTTTTTTTATACTGTACGGGGACATGCCCGACCTAACGCTGGTCCTCCGCGGCCTGTGGCCCGCACGAGCATCGGCATCCTGTGGCCTCTGCTGGGGGTCGCTCCCGCCAGAACCTCGAGGGAAGTTTTGCTGCGGCAACGAAAAAAACCGCCAGAGTACCAGACGAGGACCAAGAATCGCCAAGGACATCCATCCCAGGAGCACTTTCGATTCCGTAGATCCGATTCGACTCTGATCAACTCGAAACTGAAACCCTACCAATCCGACTCAGCTTCCCGATCTGTTTTTTCCCCATCCGGCTTGCAGAATGCAGATTCGATGTTCTCCGATTCCGCCCAAACGAATCGATCAGATTCCGATTCGATTTCCACTGCAGGGTTAGAAGGGAGGAAGGGGACCAGAAAAGAGGGAGGATCCCGAGGGAGGAGGACGATCAGGATGCGCCGTCGTCACGTCGCCGCCGTCGTCAACGTCCGATCCCTCGAAGCCACATCCCCTTCGATCCTCGAAGCCACATCGGGTCCGCACAGGTCCAGACCTCCGAAGTCGCTGTGAGGTTCTTGCACCGCGGACCTGCAGATCTCCTCATGTTTTTTAGATGCTCGTTCTGGGGGGCTTCCTGGGGCCCACCCAACGGATCTGTTCGACCCCAGTTCGATTCAGGTTCGACTCAAGTTCGACTCCAGTTCGATTCAGGTTCGACGCAGGGTCGGCTCAAATCGACGGCCGTTCGACGCAGCTCCGACGCACGAGTGGAGCGAGTGTCTCCAGGAAGGTCCCCAGAATGGGCATCCAATGTTTTTGTTCCTCCTCGGGATGGCCTCAGCGTCCCGAGAGCCGTTCCCCTGTGGATGGCCCCGGGGCCGGGCACGGGGCTCCCCCCTACAGCCGGGGCGTTGAAGAAGGAACCCTTTTCGTTGGGGAGGGGCTCCGTGTTCCTTGATTGTTATACAGTTTGACTTAGGTCTTCTTCAGGTTCTCGATGGGAAATCGAAGTTCAACTTATGGAGAAGAGGGGCGTGGTTCCTTATTCAGGGTTCCTTAGGTCAACGACCCGACAGGAAAGGCCAAGATCTGCAGCAGCCTCGGGCGTTGCGCAAGGGGGTGGCGATCAATGGGTGGGGGGCAGAGGAAGGTACACCTTTTCAAGGGCCCCAAGGGTTAGGTCGGGCACGCCCGACTTAACCCAAGGGGGACCTCCATGGGGACTCACTGGGGTCCAACAGGAGGGGCACGCCAGGTGCACGCGCCTGCGTCCCCCCCCATATCCTTCGCCACGCGCAGACCAAGGGGGTAATTAGTGGGGGGAGGGGGGGAGGCCTCTCAGAAGCAGCCCCCTTCTGAGGAGCCTCCCCCCTGCCCTCGTCCCCCTCCTCCTCCTCGTCCTCTTCCTCCTCCTCCTCCTCCTCGTCCTCCTCCTCCTCCTCCTCCTCCTCCTCCTCCTCCTCCTCCTCCTCCTCCTCCTCCTCCTCCTCCCCCCTAGCCCTCCTTCCCCCTGACCCCCCTTTCTGCGCGCCGCCAGACTGCGCAGTGCCCGACGCACACGAAAAAACGCTCTGCTGGCTTCACGGCGCCGAGGGGTCTGGGCACCAGCAGCCCGCTCGCCCCCCTGGCGCTCCTCGCGGCGCTCGCGTGCTGGGCCGCCGCGCCCGCCTTCGTCGCCGCGCCCGCCGCGCGGGCCGCCCCCGGCGCAGCCTTGGCCGCGGCCGCGGCCGCGGCGGCGCCTGCCGCGGCGCACGCGGAGGCCAGCGGCGCTGGCGCCAACATCGCAGAGCGGATTTCGTTCGGCAAACGATCGGGTGGGCCCACAGCGTCCTGGAGAATTCGCTTCGTTTTTCGCCTGCGGCTTCGGGCAAGAATCCAGGCAGAAATCCAGGAGCAAATCCGCTGCAGCACGTCTGCAAGGCCAGTGCAATGGTCAGCAGCGCTGGCGGCGGCGGCGCGGGCGACGGCCACGGCCACGGCCACCGTCAAGTCGGGTCTGTCCCTCTACCGCAGGAATATTCAAGAATAGTCACAAAAATAGTCTGGGGACGATGTGTCGACTATGTTTGGCTATTTGGGGGCATTGGTTGACTATTTTTTATTTTCCTTCCAAAACCCGCCAGTAGGAGGACATGCCACGGCGGCGGCGGACACGCGGGGCGCCGACGGCAACGCCGGCGACGACGACGAGGACGTCGACGCCGTCGGCGGCGACGGCGGCGGCGCAGGCGACGGCCACGGCTCGGCGGCAGGTGGGAGGGACCCCTTCGCCCGGGTGACTTCTGGTGCGGGCCCATGGGGTCGCCCCCGGCATTGGCCTGCCCCCGCGGCCCGGAAGGCGGCGCACCGCAGGGCACGCCTGCCCAGGGAGTGGCCCCTGCGTGTGGGCGAGCGGCGACGGCGGCCGCGACGGCGGACGCGCGGAGCGCCGGCGGCGACGACGGCGACAGCGGCGGCGATGGTGGCGACGGCGTGGTCGGAGTAGGTCAGAGCCCCGAATCATCAGGGGTAACTCGGGTCAGGGCTAACTCGGGTTCGTTTTTCGGGAGTCCGAACCCGAGTTATCCCGGACCCGAGTTACCCCGGATAACTCGGGCGTCCAGAGCCCCGAATCATCAGGGGTAACTCGGGTCAGGGTTAACTCGGGTTCGTTTTTCGGGAACCCAATTCCGAGTTACCCCGGACCCGAGTTACCCCGGATAACTCGGGCGTCCAGAGCCCCGAATCATCAGGGGTAACTCGGGTCAGGGTTAACTCGGGTTCGTTTTTCGGGAACCCAATTCCGAGTTACCCCGGACCCGAGTTACCCCGGATAACTCGGGCGTCCAAGCAGGCGATGCGCGTGGCCTCTCTTGGCCTTCCAGGGTGGCCCTCGTGTGCTGGGCCGCCCAGGGGGCGCTCCCTCGCAGCCGCGGCTGGGCTCGACCGGGGCGGCAGTGCATGGGATCCGACGGCGGTGAGAAACTGCACCAGGGAAAAACCCCAATCAGTAAGCAGCGGATGGTTCTCGCTGAGGAGATCGACCGGGAACCCGGGAGCCCGGGAACCCAGAACCCACCGAAATCGGCCTGGAACCAATAACCGGCAACCCGGGAACCCGGAATCGGAAACCCGAGAACCCAGCCTGCTACCGAAATCGGCGGGAAATTGTCGACAAATCTTTCAATTTCCGCTATAGGACCCCTTCAGTGCAAGCACTGATTGGGGAATAAACATGGTGCGACCCTTCTTCCAAAGCGATTGGAAGCAGTTCTGAGCAAGGCAATGCAATGCAAAGCGTTGCTTGGCATTGATTGGAATATGTTTGAAATCGTTGCCTGGACGTGGTGTTTTGCATTGTTTGGTGTTGCTGGACGTTACTTGGCATTTGTTTGCTTCACTTGGAGTTGTTCGGCGTTTCTCTTGGCATCGCTTGGCGTTGCATGGCATTTCATGAAATCGTTGATTGGCATTGATCGACGCTGCTTGGTATTTCTTGGAACCGGCGCTCGGCATTGCATGGCATTGGTCTGCGTAGCTTGGCACTGCTGTGCATTGCCGGGCGTCGCTCGGCATCTGTTGGGGTTGCTTGGCATCGCGTGGCTTTCCTTGGAAGTGCTTGACGTTGTACGGGCAAGTCTGGACTTAAGTCCGGCCTGTCCCTCTGCATGGGGCATACTCAAAAATAGTCACAAAATGCTGTGGGGAGTATTTGGGGGCATCTTTTGAATATGGTTTGAGTATTTTTACTTTTTCGTCCGAGATCCCCCTGTAGGGAGACACGCCCGACTTGAGCCTGGGCTCCCAGGGCAGTCCCAAGGAACGCGCCCAACGACGTGCCCCGAGCGGCACGCCTCGAGCCGGGTCGATCCGGGAGGGTCCCAAGGAACGCGGCAGCCCAGCGAGGACGCCCGGAGGTGGGCAGCAGCTGCGACGCCCGGGCGTGGCGTACAGTCGGGGCGTTGAAGAAGGAAGCCTTTTCGCTGGGGAGGGGCTCCGTGTTCCTTCATCGTTTCGCAGTTTGGCCCACGTTTTACCCAGGTTTTCGATGGGCAGTCGAAGTTCAACGAATGGGAGAAAGGGGCCTCGTTCCTTATTCAGGGTTCCTTAGGTCAACGCCCCGACTGTAACTGGGGGGGGCGACGAGCGGAGAGTTTGGGAAGGCGGACCTTTTTGGGCCCTGAAGGGGCTCTGCGTTCAGGTCGGGCCTGTCCCCCTACAGGGGGACGTCGGGCGAAGAATGAAAGATAGTCCGACACAGAATCAAACCCTGTTTTCAAGACATGCTCAAAAAAAGCGTTCCCATATTTGTTCAGAAGCTATGTTCGAACATCCCTCCTGTATGTAGAGGGACCGGCCCGACTTCATTCTAGATGAATCACCCTGGGCCCCAACAGGGGCACGAAAGGTGAGCGCTCTCCCCCCCCCCCGAGCGCCCTTCCATGAAGCAACGCTCCCCCGGAGGAGGAGGAGGAGGAGGAGGAGGAGGAGGAGGAGGAGGAGGAGGAGGAGGAGGAGGAGGAGGAGGAGGGAGGAGGAGGAGGAGAGGAGGAGGGAGAGGAGAGGAGGAGGAGGAGGGACCCCCCCCCCCCCCCCCCCGAGCGGGCCTGCTAGCCGTCTGCGGGTGGGGGCCGCCGAGGCAACGGCCAGGGCCACGAGTGGCCCTGCTGGCCGGGCGAGCGGCGGCGGGGGGGAAGAATGATGGGCTTGCCGTCCACCACCACCACCATCAGTTGGAAAGGGAGGGGGTCCTCCTCCTCCTCCTCCTCCTCCTCCTCCTCCTCCTCCTCCCTCCTCCTCCCTCCTCCTCCTCCTCCCTCCTCCTCCTCCTCCTCCTCCTCCTCCCTCTCCTACATCTGGTGGTGGTGGTGGTGGGAATGGGCCCATCAAAGAATGCAGAATGCATGCGGGGGGGGGAGAAGCAACACAAGCAACAAAACAGCGAGAGCCCTTCGTGAAGTAACCCCCGAGACGCCCGGGTCTCCAAGGGTCCCCACCGCAGACCGCGCGGACGTCAGCGCCGAGTCTTTGTCCCCCCCCCATTTTGGGGGGGGAGAGGGCGGGGCGTGGCCGCGCGCGCCCAGCCCCTGTGCCTCGCAGAGCTCCTCGCCCGAACGCGCTCCAGGGCAGGGCCGAGTGGTCGAGGCTCAATGGCGGCAGGGCTCCAGGGCTCATCTCCAGGCCTCCCGGATGGGGTCCGAGCAGATGGGATGGATCGGGGGATTGCGCCACGTCGCCGATGCATCGGCGACGCGGCGCGATGCGGAGCCCGAGTGTCTCCACGCCGGCGTCACCGTTGCACCGCCCGCGTCGTTGCTGCATCGCCAGTGCATCGCCGATGCATTGGCGATAACAGCGGCGATCCTCCAGCCCCATCTACTTAGACCCCATCGGGGAGGCCTCTATCATCTGGGATCCTCCGCCGAGACTCGCTCCGATGTGTTTCCCCCCCGGCGGTGCCCGCACGGCGGGGCTCCGGCTGGCTCCTGCTCTCCAGCGGTCTGGCAGCTCTGCACCCGCCGTCGCCGCCCCGTCGCCGCGCCGCGTCGAAGCCGCCCGTCTCCGCCGTTGGAGTGCACCACGCAGGCTGCACGGAAAGAGTCGCGCCTGCGGCGCGCTTTGTGATCGACACACAGTGACTGCAACAGATACGTTGCACATCATAGATTGCACCACGTCGATTTCACAACAGTTGCACTATATATATATATATTATCACGTAAGGTTGCAATGCGCATGTTGCACCACATCGACTGCAATCCAATACATAGCAATGCAATCGATTGCAATTCAACCGGATGCAATCGTCTGCATCGCGTCGCGTGCACCACAGAGCTCAAGTACGTTAGCTCGTGCCACAAATATTTCACCACCTAGCTTGCACCACGTAGCTCGCACCACAAACGTGAGTACTCTAGCTCTTACCACATAGATTGCAGCATGTAACTTGCTCAACATAGCTCACACCACATCGATGAGCACACAAGCTCCTACCACATATATTGCACCACATAGCTTACCAACCACATAGGCTGCACCACCTTGCGTACACGCCATGTAGCTCACACCACATAGTTGAGCACGCAAGCTCTTACACATACAAACACGTTCTTTGCCTGCTGTGTTCTAAGAGCTTTCTCCAAACATTGTTTGCATTTAGGCTTGCATGCTTGTGTTCTACGGAACCGAGTGGGGTTGTCCGCCTGGCGGCTCTGTGCTCGCCGCCGTCGCCGCCCCATCGCCGCCTCGTCGCCGCCCGTCGTCTGGGCCGCGTGGTTGTCGGTCTGGCGGCTCCGTGCTCCCCGTCGCCCTCCCCGTCGCCACCTCGTCGCCGCCCGTCTTCCGGGCCCGGTTGTTGCGGTCTGACGGCTCTGTGCTCGCCGTCGCCGCCTCCTCGCCGCCCGTCATGTGGATTTGGTTGTCGGTCTGGCGGCTTCGTGCCCGCCGCCGCCGCCTCGCCGTGGCCTCGTACGGATGGCACCGCATCGATGGCACCGCATAGATTGCACCGCATAAAGCGCACTACGCGTATTGCACCACAAAATTGATTGCACATCATAGGTGTCACCAGATAGACTGCACCACATAGACTGTACTGCATAGGTCGCACCATATAGAGTGCACAGCAGATATTGCATCACATGTGCTGCACCATATCGATCGGTTCACATTGGTCGTCCAACATGCATTGCACCACTTTGGTTGCATAACACAGATCGGATGACATAGTCTGCACACCATAGGTGTCACAGCATAGATCGCACCACATAGGTTGCAACA